CAATATTATAGTTTTTATCAATCTTGGAGGATAAAGTGGTCTATCATTCTACAAAAAAGGGGAAATATTATATTTATATCAATTATTGATATATTTTCTTGTAAACATTAAATTTACCTCATTTACAAGTACTTCTTCGAGTTTAAGCATACTATATATAGATTCTCCAGTAGCTCTACCAAAAATTGTATGCTTATTCTGAAAATCTGATGTAGATCTAAGAATAAAGAAGTATTGGGAACCATTGTCATCTTTCTAGCATTAACGATAGCAATTAAATCTCGTCGACAAAAACGTAATCGTGTATGAAATTCGTCCTAAAACATATATATCCAATAATTATTTTTCGATAAAAAAGGAATTCATTTTATTTTTAAATATAGTCTCACTTTTAATGCTTTTCCATATATTTTACCACCTTCTCCTGTACCTGTGGAATCACCACCTTGTGTTATGAATCCTTTGATAATTCTATGAAAGATAGTGTCACCCTAATAACCTTCCATAGATAACTGTATGAAATTTTTACATGCCTTTGGAGTTTCTTTTGTCCATAATTCTAACTCAATATCACCAACAGTTGTTTTCATTACAACCTAGTTTGACAAATATATTAGTTTGATTAATGTAAAATACTTATAAAATCAAATTTATTAAAATTAATTATTTATTATTGTAATTCAAATTAGAAATTATTTAATACATTGATATAGAAATTTAGAAAGTAAATATTGTATACCAGTTAAATTTTTAAAAACAAATATACAATCCATTGAAATATTATAAAATGACACTTATTACTTTACCCTTAGTGGCTGGCTCTTGCATACAAATATTACTCATGTTTGTAAGTCTCCTATAATAGACAAAATCCTTCATCAATAATATTTCATATTAAATCTTTAGTTATTTATAAATCAGTCAACCAAATGGTTCTTCTCTCGAATAATCTACCTTTTACCTCCTTTTGACATTGGCCTCATTCGCCCAATGAAGTTCATGATGTGTACAGCACCATCATAATTGCTTTTTTTATAGTTTCCAATCCCTATAGATATTACTAGATATTTTTGCCTTAATGTAACATTTACACTCTATATTCAATTTAACTTTACCTTTCATAACTGCTCATAATTGTTCATTCTCCATTTCTTCCACGATCCTCATATTTGCAAGTCAATGCCACACATGTTTCTCCTCTTGATACATATGCTGCCTCTTTTCTGTTTCTTGATTTGACATAATATACGTTTCCTCTTCTCATTCCTTTTATTCAAACTTAACACATTAGCGATGATCATTGACTTTGACCACTGATATTAATATTCATTTATATCTGGAACACGACATACCTTTCAATCTCAATGTATTCTCCATATCTTGTTGTTATAAGAGGCCATCACCTAAATTAATTGTATTCCGTTTTGTCTGCCTAAACCATCTCCATTTTCTGAATTTTTATTTGACCATCAAGGATTTCTATCTTGTATGTCATATCGTTAACCGACCTAGAATGCAATAGATATATCATACTTTATATATTTATATTGCTGCTTCAATTTTTTCTCGCTATAAAGTATAATTCTTGGCATCTACGCTGATGATATTCCATGGGTCCAATATTCTTCTATTGTTGCACGTGTCTGTTTATTTCAACAGAATATGCAACCGAAGGACTTGCACTCTCCTTGTTAGTCTGGACTCCCGCTTCTTGTATTTTATTCTAATTATTAACTATTACTGCAATAGAACTAATATTATTTATTTCTTCTATTGCTACATCTTCATTTTGAACAATCGAACTATCTGAATTATTACTTGTTTCAATTCCTAAATCCACGAATGTAATTTTACATTTAAATTTTCGACAATGTTTGAGACACAAAATGCCTTGCAAACAGAATTTATAGTGTTTTCATATCATGACGGTACTACTTACACGAAACAAAGGAGCGATGGCCGCTTGGGGGCAAAGGGCCATATATGCGTTTCCGACAGATAATTTCTTAATCTGTGAGAATTGATAAATGCTTTGGTAATTTTGCTGGTCAACTTCTTCTTCAGAAATGTTTACTGAATCCGCATTAATGTATAGCAAATTCCAGCTAGATATATAACATTTCATAAAAATGTAAAAATAGTGCGTAAGTAGAAGCTACATACATCGGTACTTTCTTGAACTATAATGGTTATTTATAATCATTTATAACTTCAAAATATTATAATCATAAATATTGATGCATTCAGGAATTTCTCCTCTGTCATTTGAGACCAATTAGTCCTTTCTAACATTTGTAGTTTTTTGCAATACTTCGTTTTTAAAATTTAAAATTCGACAGTTTTCACAAAAATTCGATTTTTTCGAAAACTGTAGATAATATAGCAATTCTGTTTACGGATTCGCATTTAGTAAGAATAACTCAACAAGAATCATACAATACATATTGCAAAAAAGAAATCGTGTTGGATAGTGTAATTGGAAATTATAGAAGAATTAAAAATTGCTAGGATCTGTTCGTGCAGGTATACTTTAAAAGAATGTAAAAAAATTACAAGATAATTTACAATTTAATAAGTATTTTAATGCAATAATAATAATATAATAATAATAATCAATAATAATTAATAATAATAATATCAACTAATAATGTTATTAAATACTTTATACATGTACATAGTAATGTATTTATAATTATTCGCATTTTATCATTAGGGAATTATTAGTATTTAATAGTAGCAAAGATTTTATGTAAACAGGTAAGTCTTTTTTGCACGATCAGTCCTTTGTTACAAAGAGTAGTAGTACATTTTGTTACTCCAACTGTGTTTTTTAGTTTGAAAATTTTTGTAATAAATCAACATTAGCGTTAATTGAACAGCGGTAAAATATTTTTTATAGTATTTCATCTATATATGATTGTACATGTTTATTTGCTACAAATCCACCTATAAAAGTGTTTTATATTAGTTATTGTTTTCCTTATATATGAATATTTATCATTTTGAAATTACCAGTCATGTTCAGGATTCTACAAGTAGTATATAAATTTTTGTTTTGCTTTCCTATTTCTATTTCTAAATTCCATTATATTCAAAAGAGGAACTTGATTGTTCATTTAGGCAAGTATAGCACCAGGAGGCAAATATTGATTTTCAAAGCAAATGCTGGTTAATAAATAATATGAAAAAGTAAGTAGGATAAATACAGGTTTGTGATTTTTTTAGTAATTTCATGTATGAGAAGATTTATTGCATTTAATTATTTGTATCAGTTTTCCCTTCAGCAATCCTAACTTCTCATATTTATGCAATGTTTACTTAATAATGAAAAGTATTATTATTGATTATATAAATAGTATGAACATTAATTTTCAAATTTTGTTATTTTTCTACAATCAGTAAATTCTTATTTTATAAATTAAGCTTTACTGAAAGTATATAAATCTTATTGTAAAAAGAGTAAAAGGATTTATAATTCTCCTTCTCTTTTTCGAGAGTTAAGATCTGTAATTTATAGTGCCTAATGCATTACAAGTAGATACATTTTAATTATATTTTATAGATTAATTAATATGTACAATGATTTATTTGTAAACAATTATTTGAAGTTGATTACGATTTTGTTATTGGTAATGTACGAAGTAAACAATTTTTTAATAATTTTCATAAATTCATAATTTTTTACACTTCTTTTTACGATGAATTAACGTATATTTACGATAAAATAAATGTATATCCTTGAGAACTTTAAAGAAGGTAAAAAGGTTGGAAAAAGCAGGGACTGAACAAGAAAGTATTAGAAAAAAATGTAAAATAATATTAATTAATACATTGTATTAATATGTTGTACAAGAATGCTATGATGAAATATATTGCACAATATTAATACACTGTATTAATGTAATTATATAAATTTCAATAACTTAATTGCTTTTCTATCTTTAAAAAGTTAAATATATTTCTAAACTTATTTTAGAAGTAGGTTAAATTTTTTAAGAATTTATTTGTGAAAATTTTATTACTTTCAACGTATTGTTAATATAATCTATATGAATAAAAATTAAAGTGTTCTTAATATTTTATGAGATTCAACTATTTTTTTCTTGTTTCAGCAGTTTCTTTTAAATAGATCTTCCACTGGTTTATGTTCTCTTGTACCAATAGTAACCGCTGAATTGATAGTAACATCACTATAAATTATAAAAATAATACTTAAAGGCAGCAATAATTTTAATAATAATAATCATAGTCATGATAATAATAATAATAATAAATAAATATTAAAATACCAGTATGTTTGCCTTCATCATTATATTATGTAGAAGTAATATGATATATCATATTATTCATTAAAATGACAAAATGCTTTTCCTTTAGTTCATACAATTTAGAAATCAATTGACATTTGTGCCTCTGGATTGAATATCCTGAACATTTGGTCACGGGATATAAAGAAAGTATGTAAAAGCGTGTTATTCAATAACAATGCGTCGAAAATCATTAGACTACAGTAATATGTGCTTTGCATTTTTTTACATACACGGACATATCAGCGCATGTTCTGATTATATTCTTTTATATAAATGCAAATTACGTTTCATGACTATTTAATTATCATAGTAACACAGTTGGTTCCAAATATGCCGTAGCAGATCACAAAAAGTGTTTCAAACGACTAAATTGTTTTAAACGTGTATAACATATTTACGTAAATGTTTCTGTATAAAATGCACTAACAATAAGTATTTCAAAGTAACCTCGAAAGAGTTGACTTCAGTTTCCTATAAAGTATCTTAAGGAAAGATTTTCGGTATACAAATTGATGTATATAAAACAATATGTTATAGAAATCGATGTCGTTCAAGACATGGTGTAACAACTTTTATACAGTAATAAGTATCGTTAGAGTACGATAACAGTGTAGGTTTTAAAATAATTCGCAGTGAAAGAATTCTTCAATAAGTATACAAAGCTCCCACTTAAATTTTTAATCTGTGTGTTTATATGCATACTGTATATAAGAGAAAGATTAAATTTGAGTAAATTTAGCAATCTATTTGGGATTTTCTACTCTTTTCAAAGAAATTTCCTTCACCATATTATTTTAGAAACTGCAACGTTATACTATTGGTAATAAAAAATTTATGTAATTTCCAGTCATTGATATAATATGACGCATGCGCGCATGCTGCTCACGTCATGTAGATCCAGTTACATAAAATCTTTGGCAAAGGTATGATTAATCATTGACCCATGACTCTGTAAATATGTATCTAATATTATTGTATTCCATAAACAGCTACTCGCCATTTGTCATTTTTTTACATAATTTTGATTTCTTCCAGTATGAGCATTCGAAAACGATCTTGCTCGTGAAATGCACCTGGTCGACATTCTTTAATACAACCATCTTGTATGTTTCAACCAACACTGTCGCTCATTATTTCTGTTTCTGTTTCATGTTCTGTATGTTCTAATTCTTCATTTGTCTCGGACTCACCACGTGCATCCATAAATTCCTATGAATAAAAATAAAATTAATTTCATAGTGTGAGAATAATGCAAAATATGAAGTTAAAACTGATATGTTAAGATTAGTACCAAAGACTAAAGATATTGTACTAGTAAAAAGTTCAAATATATTTACATTCAAACAATAAAAAATGAATCAATAAATTAATTCTGTAACACATTAAATTAAAGTCCTTACATCACGAGTAGGATCGTCAATACTGCTATCCTTATTTAAAATTTCACCTGTAAATCACAAAAAATGTTAACCACTGTATTTCCCGAAGAAAATAAATATTGGATATAATTTAACAAATATTGACCTACATTCTGATAGATTGAAAAAAGAACTAACCGAATTCCGTTTGTGTTTGGCTTGATACGGTGCATGTTTCTGAAAATTCTCGACGCTGTATATCTGCATCGAGAGCATGGAGACATTCTCTACTTCTACGTAACTCTTTTCTCAATGTTTCCCGTTCTTCCTCTCTTTCTTTTATAATTTCCTAAAATTTACAAAAAGTAGCGAAGTTGTATTAAGAAAAAAAGTAATTATGAAATAATGTAAAAAATTCTTTATTTTTTCCTATTTTTATCCTTTTTGAAACTATTTTTTTTTAAATTTAAATGTAAATTTAAGTGTATTTATTCCTTTAACGTAGATATCCATCTGTTAAAAAAGCAATCTTACCAGTAATTGTGACAACTGAGAGGTCAAAGAATGACATACTGGTTGCAAACTCGCAATTGATATCGCTGGTTGCTGAGAATGAAGATGCATTCTTGGCGATGGACAACCAGTCGCCTCGCAACTTGGTGGTGTTACTAATGCCGATGCTCCACGTGACGCAAGAACAGATTCCGCTTCGCTTACGTTTAATGCGGAATTCAACATTCCTACTAATTGATTCGCTAAAAAAGTAAATATAATATTACATACTTTTATATGATATACTTTTATATTTATGTACGTACGCATATCTTTTCTCAAATATTTCTAATCTTTGTATTTTATTAGTTTAACACGGGGAATCGTAAAACACTCAGAACGAATTAGTTTATAGATAGTAATTAATTATTATTTAATAATAAAAATACCTTGAATATTCGCAGCAAGTATGAGCTCAGCAGGTTCTTTTTCCATACTTGACGGTTCAGACGCCATATCTACTACATGTTCAAAATCTTCTTTTGGAATATGTAATATATCTGCTACCAACAACTGTTTTTCGATTAAAGTTTGTTTAATTATCTCGTCTTTTCTCCTAAGACATTCTGAAAATTCAGATAAAATAATCATACAACCTAGTAGAAAAATATGAGTATTATATAATAAATAAATGAATAAATAATATACCAATAGGTGTAAACATTGGTTTCGCAACATGTACAGGTGGAACTTCGACATGAACTTCAAGCGGATCAATTAACGAGGCTTGCGTACAAGTAACCAATCGTAGTGGTTCTCCTGTGCCTAATTAACAAAAATATGTACACTAAAATTTATATTTAAGCGATATTTATAAAATTATCTATTTAACCTCTGCATTTGGGAAATACGTAACAAAATTAGGAATTTATATATGTGATAATTTGTTAAAAATATCATTACTTAAAACTCTTTTAAAAAGTGTACACCACTTTTAATTTTCTATTCACTTCAAAAAGAACAACCGAACAACGTATTAAAATCACAAAACCTGTTGTTGAAGCTTCAGATGAATGTTGTTGTGGCTGTTTCGTTTGTTCAGTCCTTGAAATATCAGATCCAGGAGTAATAGGTATTTCTCCTTCTTGTTCTACGCTAGTATCTTGTGCAGATTCTTTCGTTTCTGGTTCTTGTTCTTGTTCCTGATCCGTCTTATTAGGAATATTGTCGTGTTCTGTCGACGAAGGATCTTCGATCGTAGGTCCAGGTTCTTCTGGCAGTGTAATAGGTGGAGTAGGTCTTCTACCTTGTTTATCACGAGCCTTGTACGCTTCAGCTGCCTCAGAGATATGCTTAAACCATTGCTTTCGTTCTGCAGGTGAGGCTGCCACTAAATCATAGATCTGCGCACCATTTTGCGACGTGTTGACCAGATAGAGAGAATTTTTATCCACGGCATTATGCCTGACAAGAACAGTAGACACTTTTACAATAGGACTCAACACAGAGTTCGCTTGATTTGGATTGATGAACTTTAGCAGGTACTTTTCGTCTTGTCGATGTAACAGGAGTATTGTGTCATCGAGCAGCACCACATGCAAATCGACTGGTTTCGCTCGATTCTGCTCGGTCCTACGCCACTGTAATGGACCTTCGTAAATCAATTTGCGTTTCGTGATGTCTAGATTCTTGAATTCTTGAACGGTCGGATGATCGAATTTATCAAATGCAGATCTATCAATAGTACGCTGGATCTCTGACAACCTCTGATAATCTTCAGCCTCGCGTACCGCTTGGTTAACGCAGCTAAGAATCTCCTTGCTTCGTTCGAGACTTCGCAAAACCGCGGCTCTTTCTTTTTCGTTACTCTCTGATGAATACTTCGCTAAATTCTCAAAGAGCAGAGGATATTTGGTTAATCTAAGCATCCCTGTCAGTATATGATCTTTGAGCTGTAACCTTCGACAAAGGGGATTAGCCTCGATCTCATTCAAGAAAGAATTCAATTTCGGATCTTTACGACGACGGTCTCTCAGAGCATCGAGAGCTACTTGTTGTTTCGAACAGTAGGTAGACGCGGCTCTCTCAAAAGTTTCTCCGTTCTCTCCGTCGAACATTTCCAAAAGAAGATCGCCAACGTCGCCTACACACGGATTTTCCTTCTTTTTACGCTTCATTGCTTGATTGAAGCGCGAATGAATCGTTACCATTTCATCCAGATTGGAAAACAGTAACTGTATTTGGTCTAAGGGAAGTACTTGAGATTCGAGAAGCGGTTTGTGGAAGACGTGTGATAGCACTCTCAGCGCCCGCACGTGAGACCGCTCCGTGTGAAAGAGTTCTGAAAAAGGAACCAAAGAAATTTATAAAATCTTCCTCGAATGATCGAATATGAACATTTATCGCGTGAAAGGATACCAACCATTGATAACTTCTTGCCGCTTTTTCTCTGCATTACTGAGATGAGCGAGGACATCCTCGGTAACGCCTTGACTCCAATCGGGTGGATCCGGTTCAACATCAACATCGCTATCCCACGAGGTCGATGTGTTCGTTGCCGAGGTGGCTGGATGTACCTGCTCCAGGCTGGTACTCGGACTGTCCAGACTTCTCGTCGACAAGCTGCTGTTCGACGAACTGCCCGCTGAATTACCGGGAAACGACCCGGCAGGTTCACAGTCACTGAAACCAGCCCTATAGTCAATCGTTAGCGAATGAAACGGTTTACGTTTAGACTGTACCGGCTACCACAGCCATTTGAAACCTTTTCAATACCTATCCGCAAATTCACCGATGTCACCGCCAATTATGCTTCCTAAGAATCCTAATACCCTTGGAAATCAGACTATGTTAAAGAGGTTTACAACAACAGATATAAGTTTTATCTTGTATCATTCTTTAAATTCCATATCGTCATTTTTATTTGATACGATTTGGTCAGAGTAAAATATCTTTTATTAACCTTGTGCCTTTTTACGTAATACAATGAAAGCAGGAAATACGTCAAGCTCTTATCGGTTTTGAATCATCACGAGTAGATGTATTATTATACGGTTTCGAGGAATTTTCGCTTAGCAAAGAAGATTCACGATTTTTAGATCACTTATTTCGACCAAATGTTCTAAATACGTTCAAAAGATTTGTCCAAACTTTTATGTCGAGGTCTATATCGATATTCTACAGTTTTTAGGTATCAGAAATTCTAGTTACGACTTTACGTAACTAATTGTTACATATAATGCCCAACTAAGCCACTTCTAAAGCTTGAAAGCTTCAAATCGCTGACTCAAATGTAACAAACTGTCTATGTATCAAGAATTATTGGTAAAATTATTATTAAATCTTGTCCAATTATTACCCACGTAACCTTTTAGTAAGAGCGTAACCGATTCATCAATCAGTGACGTAAAAATGGTAAACCTGTTCATGCAAACCGACATTGGGATAACCGAGTGCCTATCTTTCACCTAAAAATAAGTTGAAGTTCACCTAAAAATAACATAATATTGGGCGAAGAACTATACCTCTCGGACCTCGTACGACGTTCATTAACACCGAGTCTCTCGTGATTGGAGGCGTCGTTCGTAAGTTCCGGGAGTCGTTCCTCGACGTTTGAGCATCCCGATGAAATGTCGTTCGACTGATCGAAGGGAGAAGACGGTTCCGTGGAGGATATCGAGCTAGTTAAGTTTTCATTGCCCCGAGAATTAGGTCGAGGACGGACATGTCTCATCTTTTATATCTCCTTAGCCCTAAAGGGCTTCCTCGATGAGGTAAAGCTGGCAGGCATGTGCCGCCTTCGCTATAACCGCGACGTTACGTGGCCACTTTTGCGCGGGACTTCCCCGACAAAGATATATTGTGTTACGCGAACGAATAGCGATTCTTGCTCTTTTGTTCATTCGACGGGATAGGTGATCTGAGATTCTAAACTAGAAATTACCAGTGGATTAAAATGTTTGCCCTATACAATATCTAAGTTTTTGGTACCTCGGAGTATAGGGAAAATTTGTGAGATACTAAAAGAGTTAGCACGTCGACTGTCGGATGAACTTTTCACTATTGATATACAAAATAGTGGGTTATTTATATGTCGACTTTGAAACCTATTTAATAACCTTCACTGTCGCTATAAAGTGGCATGCAGCGAGGATTATAAGAATTTAAATGTCATAATTAAATCTGGTATTGCCAGTCACCGATGACCCCCATGGCGTCACTTGGCAAGTCCAATGGCGACCACCCATGACCCCAGTGACAGTCAACGTGTTAATTGTAAGTAGCAATTGGATTAAATTAGATTTTCGTTTTTTCATTTAACGAAGTAGATTTGAGATCCTAAACGAGAGATTAGAAATGGAGCAGAAGAAATTTTGTGCAGTTTTTAAATAGATAAAGCATCGGCATTCTTTAAACTATAATTTTGTAATATTAAAGTATCAGCAAATACCGAATGCTTGAAATAACGCATGACATTAAATTTTGTAAATAGGTTGTCAGAAGTATGGTGTTATATTAAAAAAATTTCAGCAGCTTAAAGGTTACGCGTTCTTTCCACAGCAGAACTCGGTTAATAGAATACATTGGCATTTTGACTAGATTGTCGCAGTTATTATATCTTTGCTTGCACCCTTCCCATCAAGAGTAAAGAGGATTACTAAAGGGCGAAAGAAGCTTGAGAAAATAATACCCGTTTAATTTTTGAATTATCATCAAAACTATAAGGTATAACAGAAGAGTCAAAGAGCTATTAAAAACATAAAAGAATGTTCAATGTTTAATTTAGAATATATTTTTTATGTTTTCTAAGGATCCTACAATTTTTAATTTAGCTTTCTTGAATGATAAAATGGATCAAAAAAATTGAAACAAATGCAAAGGGTACTTAAGAAACTGATAACGTTTACTAAACCTTTTGTTTGGCTTTTCGTTATATTATCATCGCACAGTGATCGCTGCCACTCCTCTATTACTCCATCATTATTATTCGCTTTACGAACTACTTTTTCAATTGCAAGTTATTTGTATTTTTATTTTCAATATTTTATTTTCAACGATCAAAAAGTGACCAATCCACGGTTTCAAACGAAAAAACTTCAAACGAGAATAATTAATTTATAAATTTCTAATCAAAGCAATTATTACTATATACACTTTATCGATACGTTCCTAAGCATCCCTACAAAAATTTTCCAATTAATACACAATTATGCATCGAGATGTGATTAAATAATTCCAATTAATTTTCCAGTGGTCGGATTTTAAAAATAAAACTGGTCAGACCTTGCATCCCCGTTTTCAAGTGATCGGACAACAATTTCCAGCGGATTTTCAGGGTTTTTCATTTATCTGGAATAATCGAATATTGTGCCCGGCAAGGTGTACCGAGTATAAACGAGAACTTAATCGACGTCGATCAACCTAAACCTTATCGAAGCCGCTCCTTCATCACTTTAATCAACCCCCTAGATATAGAAGCGACATCGACTTGCGACTGATACACTGCCTTATGCATACAGTTGTACGGAGTCATCAATGGTACCTGTATTCTTCCGAAGAGTAAAAAAATCGACGTAGTTCTACACCTCCTTTAACAAACGTTTGCTCAATGAAATTTTCTACAAACAGGTACACGAAACTGGGCTTTCCCGTTAACTCGACGAATTTTTCCGAATTAATAAGTCCCTCTTAGCCAAGGAGCAATAACCGATTTTTTCAGCAGAGAAATTCATCGATCGACGCTCCATCGATAATTCGAATAGTTCTGTTCAATTTGGAATTTTTAGTGGTCGTACAAGAGTAAATTATCCGCTTTAGAGTTTCAAACGCGTTCGATCCGGGTGAAGTAATGCAGTATCGTTAATGAAATAACTCTGTAATAAAATTGGATTCTATTGTATCGAGTAGAAAATTCTTGATTCATGTGATAAAACGAAAGATGCTCTGTTAAACAGACATTACAGGACGTATACAAGATATACATGTATAAACAAACGTATACAAGAAACGATTATGATTTTACAGTGCTGTATAAAATAAAATAAAAAAAACTATAAAAATTTAAATATTTTAAGTATGTAGTACTTATTACAGATGTAATTGCATCTGTAGTACCCATAGGGGTTAATTGCATCGCATTGCATTCGAGATATTTCGAATAATTAATTCCTTTAAATATCCTTTAACGATCACACGAATATTAGAATCAAGGAAAATTATTCGGTACGTCGACGATGATCAATCGAGTCGATCGATTTAGCTCGAAGCAAAAATTGATCCGAGCTATTTAAAAGAATGACGAATTAGTCGCGAGCGAATTTTTCGCAGGGGAACACGTGTGTAGAATTAGCGAAGGGTAAGGAGGCTGCAAAAGAAGCTGAGCCTATGGTCTAAGTCTAGCGTATCGATTCGAAAGTATCGATTGCTTCAAAAATAAAGGGCAAGACATCTATCTGTAGCCTGATATCACTTTGGTCCCCGTTTACAGCCGTGCACACGTACTACGACCAGGTTGATACAAAACGGATCGCTTTCCTTTTCCTCCCCATTTATGCGCATCGATTTTTTTAAAACCAGATGCATTAGCCAGCTAATTCATGCGAATCGTACTAATAGCCGTGAGGTATTAACGACTACACTAAAAATGTACACGCGGTATAAAGGGAATAAATTCTCTATTGCGATGCATTTATCTCGAATCATTTTGCAGGCGTCAAATTATTATCAACGAAATATCGATTCGTTCTTGTTCTTTTTCTTTTTCTTTTTTAGCGTCTTTTGACGTCTGTTTTATTGGCCTAAATCGAAATGGAGAGATAAGATCACGTTGGTTGGTTTAGAAAATTGTATTTCTGATATTTTTAGCATCGATAAATTAAATCGTTTTGGGTGACCATATTAGTCATTAATTAGAATACAAATTATTCTCGGCAGAAAAATATAAAATATTTATTTACGTTATGACTAGATAGTTCTGACGCTTGAGGATTTAGAATTCTAAAATTCTTGACACGAAAGATATCCCAGGTTTTTCGAAGAATTATCATAACGAGTGGAACGTTTAATACGTTGAATTTTTAATTGATATTTGTAATTGATCTTCAGGCGAAAAAATGATTCGAGAGATAAGAAAATTTGCCAATGTCACGTACACGAGTACATTTTCCAATCGCTGTCGATTGATTTTAATTGCGATGAACGTGACCTGTACTGTCGCATAGCAATTCCCAGAAACCTATCCCTCCATTATACGAAATGTGTTCCTAGCAAGTTAATAATTTTTAATGAATTAATTGCCCTCGAATTGATTCTATGCATCGTTAAGCAAATACCACAAGGTTGTCGAAATAATTTACTAAAATTGAGAGGAAAAGAAAAGAATTAAATTGCACAGAGTAATTTTGCAGAAGAAACGCAAAATATTTTGTAATGCTCTTTCTGTTATAAACAATATATTCTCAGAAATATTTAACGGCTCAATTGCACAATTCTTGGTGATGATAATAATCATGACAAAATAAAAACGCACGATGTTCTGAAATTTAACTGAAAAATAATTAACAGCATAATTTGTCCGATGTTTGATGAGTGTAATTAAGTATTTCAATAAGTCCACGAATAGGGAGGAAAACTAGACTACGATAAAAACGAAAGGTGTCGTATAGTTGTTGGTGGAAGAGAAA